ATAAGGCAGTACTTGCAAGTCCTGTTATGCTAATGATCGAGGCAGTACATGCAAGTACTAGTATGCTAATGAGGCAGTACATGCAAGTACTGTTATGCTAATAAGGCAGTACTTGCAAGTACTGTTATGCTAATGATCGAGGCAGTACATGCAAATACGAGTATGCTAATGAGGCAGTCCATGCAAGTACTGTTATGCTAATGAGACAGTACATGCAAGTACTGTTATGCCAATGAGGCAGTACATGCAAGTATGGGTAGCTAATGAGGCAGTACATGCAAGTACTGGTATGCTAATAAGACAGTACATGCAATTATGGGTAGCTAATGAGGTAGTACATGCAAGTATGGGTAGCTAATGAGGCAGTACATGCAAGTACTCTCATGCTAATGAAGCAGTACATGCAAGTACTGTTGTGCTAATAAGGCAGTACATGTTATTATAATCTTTCCAATCAGTCTGATATTATTGCAGCAAGTCTCAGAAGTATTGGGGCAGCCAATTTGCAAACTCGCTAGCGAATTGACTAAATTCTATGATTTGATGTAGTATAATATAAATAAAGGACATTATACAGAGCATGGATGGTTCAACATGGTTACATCAATGAAATTATAACAACTTGCTAAAATTTATAAGATTGAACGTCCCTTCATGAAGCAAAACTGCCTTTTTTCAGACTCATTATGAAAACCAACAATAGCAGTCATCACACTTTTAGGTGCTAATCACTGACAGTCTTACAGTTAGATGGCTATTTGTGTGTGTTCAAAATTCTTGGCGTCATGAGGTTTTCATGTGTTTTCATGTCTCAGGTATATACAGCAAATCATCTTTAAAAAATGGGGTATCCCAGACAGGTGCCACAAGTGAGCATCAACGAGATTCGAAAGGCAACTGTTTAGTCAAATCCCAAGCAGTTAGCAAATTCAAGTTTGCAAATTGGCTGTGCCAATACTTCTGAGACTTGCTGTAAGACATAGTTGTGATAAAATGTGACAGTAACACAATTATTGTTTATTGTGTTTAATCATGTAGCTCCTAGATCTGTGTCTACAGGGGATGAGGATTTGCCCCCTGCACTCCCAGATAGGACAAAGGAATCTAAGCAGTTTATAGGTAAGTAACTTCATAACTGCTAAGCATATAAAATGCTCTTACTAATAGCACAATAAACCATGGAAACTATTGAGAAATACATGAAAAATTAAAAAGTTCAAATTTGTTTGCACAATTTTGACATACAAAAATGAGCTGCTATTTTGATATCAAATTTGGAAAAATGTTTGCAGTGGATTTTATTTTATTCATCATATTTGACATAGAATGAAAAAGTCAGTTATTATTATTGATATGAATACTAGGTAAATTTACATAAAAGTTTTTGAGGTATTTGAATTACCTAAATTGAAAAGTGTGAAGTGAATGAATTGAGGAATGCAACATTGCATTATTGGGGCATATGGAAATTTGCATACTTGCACTATAGGGGCATATGGAAATTTTCAACTTTGCACTATAGGGACATATGGAAATTTTCAACGTTGCACTATTGGGACATATGGAAATTTGCAAACTTGCACTATAGGGACATATGGAAATTATCACTATACTGACATGTAAATTTTCAACTTTGCACTATTGGGACATATGGAAATTTGCAACTTTGCTCTATAGGGGCATATGGAAATTTGCAAACTTGCACTATAGGGACATATGGAAATTATCACTATACTGACATGTAAATTTTCAACGTTGCACTATAGGGGCATATGGAAATTTGCAACTTTGCACTATAGGGGCATATGGAAATTTTCAACTTTGCACTATTGGTATATATGGAAATTTTCAACTTTGCTCTATAGGGGCATATGGAAATTTTCAACTTTGCACTGTAGGGGCATATGGAAATTTTTAACGTTGCACTATTGGGACATATGGAAATTTGCAACTTTGCACTATTGGGGCATATGGAAATTTTCAACTTTGCACTATTGGGGCATATGGAAATTTGCAACTTTGCACTATTGGGGCATATGGAAATTTTCAACTTTGCACTATAGGGACATATGGAAACTTGCAACTTTGCACTATTGGGACATATGGAAATTTGCAACGTTGCACTATTGGGACATATGGAAATTTTCAACTTTGCACTATTGAGACATATGGAAATTTGCAAACTTGCACTATAGGCACATATGGAAATTTTCAACGTTGCACTATTGGGGCATATGGAAATTATCGCTATAGGGGCATATGGAAATTTGCAACATTGCACTATTGGGGCATATGGAAATTTGCAACTTTGCACTATTGGGACATATGGAAATTTGTAACTTTGCACTATAGGGGCATATTGAAA